GTGCCCGTGCTCCAGCCTTCAAACTTCATTAAATGGAGAAGAAGGTCAAGGAAAGAAAAAAAAAGGTGGTGATTCATCTCCACAAGATAAAGACGCAACACCCTCTCCTCCGGAATCAATTCAAAAAGACCAATGATATTCGAGCAACACTAAAGCAGCATTTCGTCGAGAGATTCAACTATCATAGCATTTGATTCAAAAAATACTATTAAACCCTCGAGCAATGTTATTCAAGTTAAAATATTTCCTTAGGAAGATCGAAGAGGAAGTCCGTCAAGAAGTAATTTTCAATCAAATCAAGTTTTAACCATTCAAGCGAAGAAATAAAGGGTGTGATACTTCTCTTAGAAATACAGAGGCAATATACTCCTCTCAAATAATTTCAAAAACACCAATTAATGCAAGTGTGAGCATCTTAGCCGGTTTGAAATAGATCACCTCTCGTCTTCACCGGTGGAACGCCGGTAACCTACAAACAACTCTCACACCGGGGGGTTCTCTGGTGAAGAGCCTCCGATGCTTAAGTAAGCATGTGTATGTTTGAGTAGAATAATGGAAAATAGGAAAGAATCTTTTTTACCCCATAACAAAGACAAATTAAGTTTTTCACACCGCCCAATAAAAAGCTAAGTTTTTCACCCCCAAAAGTGCGAAGATTATGCGAAAACTGTCACATATTCATCGCATATGAAACTTTTGAAACCCCTGAGTGCGTGCCCGTGCACCGAGTCCATCCGACCTACCGTCTACGCGTTGTTCCATTAGCCGTGGTCCAAGCACACCCCTGCGTCAGTGACCGTGGCACCGTTTCAAACTCGTGCATCGGCTAAGCCGTGTCAGTCGAGTTCGTGCCGGCCCGAGTTGCCACGTCGAGCTCGGACCACGGTCAAACCGAGCTACACATAGTCAAGCGAATGACCGACCAGTTCCGAGTAAGCTGTCGGTCCAGTTCAGTTGAACCGGTCCGGTCAGTCCAGACGGTTCGAGATATATTTCAGATAGAATTTCAGATTCAGTCAGATTAAGATTTCAGATATATTTAAGATTTCAGATATAGTTAAGATTCCAGATAAAGTCAAGATTCCAGATAGATTAAAGATCCAGATATATTTTGGATTTTAGTCAGATTAGATTAATTCAGATTATAGTTCCAGACTTACAAAAATTTCAGAGAATTCTAGAATGCCTCAAAGACAATAAATTTTCAAAATCAGCTCGTAAATCCCTAAAATGATTTTAAAGTCGAGTGAGCGAACCTAGACAGCTCAGATAATATAATTCGAGTTTTCAGTT